GGAGGGTCTGGCGCGAGGCTTCGAAAATGTAGGGTTGTTTGACGATGCGCTCCTTGGATACGATGAACTTTCTATCGGATTGGATACTGCGATTGAGGAACAACTTGGAGGGGGCGGAGAGTCACACGGTAGTGCCTTTTTGATGCACACCGAGGATTGGCAGAAGAAGGCCAAGGCTGCTTTAGAAAGCCCAGTAGCTTCGAAGGATGAGGAAGATGAAGAGCCAGCCCCAGTTCCCGAACTCGACGCGGACGATTTCCCCATTGACTCGAACAAGAAGGCCTACCGGGAGATGATCCTAGCTAGCAATATCTCTATCTTCGATTTCCGCATCTACATTTTCTCGCGACAACTAACCCTACTCCTCAGGGCGGCAAAGGCGCCCTCTCTGCTCAATAAGGAGCCCGATGCCGGTCAAACGCGAGCCAATACGAATAAGAAGCCGGAAAATCTGATGCTACTTTCCGAGATCTGCGAAAGAGCGACGGAGTTCATTAGCTTTGCTGCACGCAATCTCAGATGCGACCTGGAATCGGGGCTTGCCGATGTAGACAATGCCGGAAAAACGGAGGTCATCAACAATCTGGTGTCATCCTGGGCATACGCTGCTGCGTCGCAGATTCTATCGCAAACGTCCACTCCGACGCTCACTCTACCGGAGTCCTCTTTGCATGCGATGACTTCGCCAGCAGACACTGCTAGAGAATCCAGACCAGAGTTGCCTCGACGCAGCAGCTCACTGGTTAGCCCACCCAAGACTCGCCCCGGTCGCTCTAATACGGATATTCTATCCCCAGATGCACTGTCGTCTGTTCATTCAGGACTAGGCCAGGGAACACCCAAACTCGCGCTCGCTCCGGCTCCGAAGACTGGGTCCGAACAGTTGGCTTCCGCCAGAGGGGAGTTGCTGCTCATGGCTCGCCGGGTGATGGAAGAGATTGCTGGGCGTTGCGGATGGAGAGAGAAGTGGGATGATCTCGGTCTACTCTTTGACAGCGAAAGTGCTGGCAGTCGTGATATGACGGAAGTCTCTCTAGACGCCGAGGCATCGCAGCAAGCGGAAAAGCCCCAAAGAACTCATAACCTCTCGGGAATCGAATTGCCCGGGTTGAAGGCTGCTCTCCGCTCAAGAAAGTCCTTCCGCTCACACTTCGAAGAGCTAACGGATGATATGTATCGTCACCATATCACGGCAAATCGTACGTATTCCGCACAGATGGCCCTTGCGGACATGGCCCTCGTAAGGTTCCGGCAGAGCGACTACGGTGCAGCAGCCTCCTATTTTCACCAAATCACTCCTTTCTACGGCAGCAAGCAATGGACTATTCTGGAGGGTGTGATGCTAGAGATGTACGCGCGATGCTTAAAGGAGCTGCAACGGAGTGAGGAGTATGTTCGAATGTCCCTTCGACTCCTTGCGAAGTTCGCCTCCCATAAACAGTCGAGCTTGTCGACGCGGCAGAAGACCATTGATGCGTCGTCCATATTTGCAGAGGAAGAATTAATCTCTCAATACGTTGACGAGTTGTTCGAGGCCTCCGGTGCCCTACAGAAAGAGGTCACGGCCCCTTTGACTGACTTCTTCGCGGATTTGCATGTTGATCCTGCTATTGTTCACTATAAAGATAAAGATGGATTTCAGATGCAGCTTTCATTACGCTTCCTCTTAGGAAAGCGAATTGAGGCTGACTCAATGAAAATTCGACTCGTCGGGACCGGAGGCAGTCAAAGCAATGAATACTGGCTGGAGTTACCCTCTAAGACGACTATCAAGTCGTCGTCGACGAAGGTCCTGGTCGATTCTTCGGTAAGTACTGTTTGCTGCTGTTTCTGGTTCACTCGCTCTACTTCGTGGCATTCAATAACCTTTCTACGTAGATGACACTGCAAGGAAAATACTACATTGACCGGGTTGAACTCCGAGCCCGCAGCATCCTTTTCACATCTGGGAGTGGGAAACATTCAGTCCTCCCCTTAGGGTTCAGAGAAGCAGTAGACGCCGAAGAAGATCGTCGGCCGTATATATACTGCTTCCCCCCACCCAAGGGGCTTCAGGCCAAAATCGTGTCGCCTCATCTTGTGAACCTTGAAGAGATGCGGACGCTTGAATTAGAACTTGACAGTGGGTGGAATGATATCAAGAGCGCTACTCTTCGAGTGAGGCCTGCCACTGCAGGGCTCCGCCTGCGAATAGCTGAAGCCGAAGTAGTGCAAGGCGACATCAAGATTGTTGCCAACAGCGAAACAGGGCATATCGAGTTCTCTCAATTAGGGCCTAACTCTTTCGTCCGGCTTAGGATCCCATACACAATGGAGGAGCATCACCCAATGCTCTCCGCACGCGCAGAGGTTGGATATGAGACGACAAACGGGCAGTTCTCGTACTCCTCTCTGCACAGCATCGTATCAGGCTTACCCATCAGCGTCAACGTCCAGGATACCTTCAAGGATCAGGTACTCTTTTCTCGATTTACGGTCAGCCCAGCCATGATGATTCCTCTCCGCATCCTCAAATGCAGCATCCCGGGTTCAGATGTCTATCACGTTCAGTCTAATATCGGTGACTCGGTCGCAATGAACGTCTTTCCCAAACAGCCCGCATCCTTACTCTACAAGATACAGCAGCGGGAGGAAGCCGTAATGTCACCTGGTGCGAGACGCTCACTCCGTCTCAGTGTTGATTTTACCTGCGTAGACGATGAATGTCTGAACGCGGTTGAGAAGACCTTCAAAGAAAGCATCGCAACCAGTGACTACCAGCAATACAGTGCTCTCCTTACATCGCACATTGTCGACACGTTTCGCACACAGCTATCGACTTCCGAGATGGAAGTCATCGGGCTCGTCCGGGAGGTGGAAACACTACCCTATTCCAGTGTCAAGTGGGAGATGCTTCTAAGTGCGCTGAAGCAACCACTTGATGGTTTGAAAACTTGGCTCCAGGAGTGGCACCAGGTAAGTGCAGCTGGGGCGCTTTTGAAGGTTCTATGCCTTGCATACAGGAGCTTGTGCTGACGTGTACGCAGAATCACCCTATCATCAGCCTTCCAGATCAGCCATCAATCCCCCGCCGGCACATCATCATCCCCGTGGACATTCCCGAGATCCAAGTGGTGCATACTGCCGAGCTGCGACTCCGCAACCTCGCCGGCCAACCCCCACACGCCGCGGTCGGGCAGATGATCGCAGCCGAGCTCAGCCTACGCCATACGCGCAGATGGTGTTCGCCCGAGCATCGCGAGAATGCGGGAGGGCCGCTCGAATTCTCGTACGAGATCCATGCGAACCCGGAGCTCTGGCTCGTGGGCGGCCGTCGACGAGGGAACTTCACCGCGGAGGAGGGGGAGACTAAGACCTTTGCGGTGATGCTTCTTCCCCAGAAGGCGGGACATCTTCTTCTCCCGGGCCTCGAAATCAAGACCTTCGTGCCCGCGTCCTCGGCCACACCGCCGAAGCCACCAGCGCCTGCCACTGGCCCCGCCGGTACAGCGCCGGTCTTGCAACGACGACAGATTGCATGTGAGGTCGACTACCGCAATCACGGGGAGACCGTTTTGGTACTTCCGGACCTACGAAGCACGACCGTCAGTCTTAGCCTGTCGGGAGGAAACCATGGCGCGGCATGGTTAATCGACTCGGAGCGAAGAGTTCTTGCGTAGTATTTACAAGTACATAAACCGGTAAATATGACCATTAATGACAGGCAATTGAGTGAGAATCAGTAAATAGATATAGTGATACCAAATCGGGCAACCCAAACCAATCACTCCACCCAGGGCAAAAAAGATAGACAAAATAACACAAAAAATAAAATTCTCATAAAAAACACCTCACAATGTACTGGAGAGTAACAATAGGCACCCAAAAAGGTCTAGCCCCATACCAAAAAGTAAACTGAAAAAAAAAAAAAAAAAAAAAAAAGAAAAGAGAACGAAAAAGAAAAATGTAAATGAAAATGGAAAGGTGTCGCTGTCAAAGTTTTCTCTGCGAAAGTCTGAGATCAACCTTAATTCTTAATTCTTTGTATGTCGGGCGGCGGGCCTAACCACGACCCTCAAGGAACA